ACTCTCTCTCTCTCTCTCTCTCTCTCTCTCTCTCTCTCTGTACGACTATGCAAACGGCCAGTCCGAACCATCATCATACGGGCATACTCATCTCCTGCTGCTTCACCATACCGATGACCGACCGCGTCTCATACGGGTGGAAGTCAACAAGGAAAGTTGAGGTGAGGTGGTGTTCTGGTCGCGCCAAGTCGTACGCTGGTGGTGGCTGTGGTCCCCCTCCCAGGCGTTTCTCGCACCACCACAGCCTCCGCAGATCCAGGCGCCGCATGGTTGCAAACGCGTGGAAGACCTGGGGAGGGGTCGCTTGGCGGGTGTTTTGTAAGCGGAGATGGGTTTGGGACAAGTCCTCCTCGCTTACCGAAGTGTCGCTGACCGGAGGGGCGCAGATCGAACTGGGAAAGAGGGGGTTCGTAGGAGGGGTATAGAGAGGGGAGCGATAGAGGGAGCTTGAGGGGATGTTGCAGCAACGAATGTCGAGCCAGATCTTAGTGGTAGTAGTAGTAGTGGTTGTAGTAGTAATAGTAATAGTAGTAATAATACCATCCATCAATCCCCATCCCCCAAATTAAAACCCAGCACACCCTCCTCATCCTAGTACCTCCCAAAGTATACCGCAGCCCTGCAAAAAAAGCGAAAGGCCTCTCTCTCTCTCTCTCTCTCTTAAACCCTCCACCGAACCAATCTTCCAAGCGCCAACCCCTAGTCAATCCTCACCTTTTCCCTCTCCTCTCCTCCTTTTCCCTCTTTCCCTCTTCACCCCCTCCTCATCTCACCCTCCCATCCCATCCCACCTCATACCCTCCTCGAACGCCGTTCGAAGAAAAAAAAAAAAAAAAGTCTTTCATCGTAGAAGAGAGCGTCGGTGATGTGTAACCACTTTGATTACCGTACTCCCTTCCCCTGCGGAGAGGATAGGTAGATAAATCGATAGGTAGATACCTTAAATAGTGCAAAAGAAATGACAACAGTCACGTAAATAAGTAGGTAGGTGTACGGATCTATTTTCCTCCTTTTTCTATTCATCTCGATTGGATTTTGCGTTCTTGAAATTTTTTTCTCTCTTTTCTCTCTCTTTTCTTTCTCTTTTTTTTTCTCTTTTTTTTTTCTCTTTTTTTTTTTCTCTTTTTCTTTTCTCTTTTCTTTCTCTCTTTTCTCCCCCTCTTTTCTCTCTCTTTTTTCTTCTTTTTTTTCTCTTTTCTCTCTCTCTTTTCTCTCTCTTCTTTTTTTTCTAATCCTTCGAGATCTGTAGTTTTCTCTCTCTCTCTCTCTCTCTTTCTTTTGTGGTTGAGAGTTACCGTTTTTAGGAAAGGGGGGGTGGAGGAGGGGGACTTTCCAGAGCGAGCGGAAAGAGTGTGTATATACCTACCTACCTTATATAGACATACATATATACATATATACATATATACAAACACATCCATCACACAAACACACACACAAACACACATACACAGAATCCATACCTACAAATCCCATTTCCCTTTTCCCTGCCTTTCCGAAGAGATATTCAACCATAGGATGATGCTGATGCTGATGCTGATGCGAGACAATTTTTCTTCCCCCATTTCTTTCCCTCTCTTTCCCCTCTTTCAATCACTCAATCGCTCAGTCACTCTCTATCATCCCATCCCATCCCATCTCGCCCCCATCCCATCCTATCCCATCGATCCCATCCCACCCCTTTAAACTCTCCCACGCGCCTATCTTCCTCATCTCTTCCATTCCCATCTCCTCCATCCTCAACCTTGTCTTCATCTCCAACTCCATCTTCGCCATCCCCTCCCACAATATCCGCCAACACAACACAACATAACAAACAGACCTTTTCGATCCCCAAATCCCAAACCCTAAACCCCAAATCTCAAATCTCCAATTTCCCCAATTGTCTTCTCTTCTTCTCTTCTCTTTTCTTCTTCTCTCCTCTTCTCTTCTACTCTCTCTCCTCTTCTTCTCCTTCATTCAAAGTTCCGAATCTGGAATTCATCAATCATCTCAGCATCTCATCAACTTCGACTGTCATTTGACTTTCATATAGTCATGCCGTACGTGTATAAACGGACATCCACACTACACACTACACACACTACACACACTACACACACTACGCTATTCGCGCGCCTCTTCACTCACTCTGCTCCCTGCGTCAAAACTTCCAAGAACCGAGTCCCACGTCGAGCCCGATGCCGTGCCGTGCCGTACCGCAGCCAGCTCACCCCCAAACCTGCCGACAGCTGAGATTCACCCTCTTGCTTCTCATGTACCCCCTCCACGGCTCAAACACCTTCCTCCTCCCCACACCCACCCCTTCCCCATCCCCGGGCCCAGCCGCTGGCCAATCGGCCAAGAACTCCGGACACGTGCCCGCCAGGACCTTGGGCATGGCATGCCAACACCAGCGCGCCGCGCCGTCCATCCACACGCAGTCCCCGCTGCGCAGCCGCAGCACACACATCTGCATCGGCCGCTCCGGGTCGCCCTCACCCGCCTCCCGCTCCCCTTCCGCCTCCACCTCCGCCTCCACCGGCCCCGCCCCCTCCCCCTCGACGTCCCGCGAGACGACAAAGAGGCCGTCGCAGCCCAGGCTGAAGCTCGCGAGGCCCTTGGAGCACGCCTCGGACACGTCGCGGTGCACGGGCATGAAATCCTTGGGCGAGTAGAGCAGCACAACACCCGACTCGGGGGTGAAGCTCGCCTGGAACAGCGTCGTCACCAGCGCCGCCACGTCGGGCGGGAAGGGCGTCGGGGATGTCGGCGGGTAGGCGCGCGTCGCCCAGTCGTACTGCGAGCCGAGCGTCAGCCAGCGCAGCTTCTTGACGAGGAACTGCGTCGTGTTGAGGGGTTTGAGGGGGGAGGAGGGGTCGAGGGGTGCGTAGACGTGGTTTTTGGAGTGCCGGGGGTAGCTGAAGAAAGAGTCGTGGTCCGAGGCCGATGCAGATTCAGAACCAGATGCCGAGCCTGGGGGCGGGGGCGGAGAGGGGATGCGGTAGGAGGAGGAGAGGTTGGTGGCGTGCAAGGGGTTGGAGAGGTCTCGGTGCAGGATGGAAGACAGCATGAGGTACTGGCATTCGGGCGGGAGCAGGGAGGGGAAAATGCGGAGGCCTGGCGGCAAGCGTCAGTCATGTCGTCGTCGTCGTCGTTGTCGACGTCCTTCCGGACTAGGCATCTTCCTTACCGGGGAAATCTTTGTGCTCGTAGATGGTACACGGCGCCGGGTCTGCGTCGGCCATCTCGTCCGCGACCGGACCCGCGTTTTCCTCTCGACACGCCCCACGAAAGGCCTTCCTCGCCGCCGCGATCAGCTCTGACGGGACCGTGTCGACGGGAACCAGTTTCTCCCTCTGCGCCTCCGTCAAGCCGCGTTGAAAATCGACGACGTCGAGATCTCCATCCACGGCCGCGTCGTCCATGCGCTGGTACCTCTTGTACAGATCACACACGGCCTGTGGCGGGATCGCGTGCGTATCATGGTCATGCTCTTTCTACCCCTGACCGTCAGTGTCGGACTCTGTATCTGGCTCTATCCTCTCTCTCTTTCCCGACACACTTACCTGTCTCGCGTCGTCCATGATCAGGTGACTCCGGGTTCGATGCCGGGACCGATACGGCTTCGTCGGCGAGGAGATCCGGGTCGGTGAATCTGTAATGAGCGGGGCGGGCTTGGCGAGTCGAGATATGGGTCTGGAGAGTCTGCGCATGAAGGGATGGGGGTGGTTCGGGAGGGAGATCCTGTTTGTTGGTGAAGGAAGTACGGTACTCTGTAGGTAGCGGTAGCACGGTGGCCGATTCGGATCCTAAAATTCTTGAAACGCTCTTGCACATTTTAACCGAGAAGCGCTTGCTTAGCGCGGCCTTTCGCTCCTGCTCTGTTGACATGGCGTCGGCCGGGTTGAGAGCGACCTCCGTGTAGTTAAGCTTAGAATCGACTGTCGTATTGGTTTTCAACGGTTGTATTTTTTCCCTTTCTTTCTGACTGTCCAACTCATGATAGCTTTGCATGTTCACAGTCAGCACACTGGCTATGATGATATATTTTGGAGGCTTTTTTCCATTGATTGAGCCAGTACTCCGTACCCCCGGGGCCATCTCCCCTGTGGTACCCGATGGTCCTGCTTACTACGGAGTCCGCGTGGTTGGCCATACCGAGGCTATCCCGCTGTTGTTGTTGTTGTTGTTGTTGATTTTGTGTTGTTGTTGTTGTTGCTCTTATTATTTGTTGATATTATTGTTATGATTGATTGGTTACCTGTTTAGTGGTTGGTTGCTACGGGCGATCCAGGGATAGGGGTCCCTGGGTAATGAGGTGGATCGTGTCCGGGGTGAGGGTTGGCTGCTAGTTGGAAATCAATAGATCGGCTGGTCGGCTGGTTATCGGGGGTTGTACAGGTATCACAAAAAGCAAGAGTTGCTGGTGACATGTGAAGGAGCAGGAGGGAAGGATAGCAAGAAAGAGATGGGATGGGATGGGATGAGGTAAGACGAGATCAATTGGGATGGGGATAGGCTGACGCTCCCATCCAAGGGCTGGGAACCACGATGGCGGGGGATGGGGGACGGGATGGATGTTGATTTTGAGGATTCATTTGAGTAGTCGATGTCATACTGTGAAGCTCTGCCGTTGTCAAAGCTCCAACCGCACAGTCCTCCTTCCCCATCTGACCAATGATCGGTCCCCACTTGCTGCTGCTTCCAGATTTCGCTTAGCGCAAAACCCACCGCCCCACATCCACCCGCCCCGCTTCATTTCGATCTCACCCCCCCCTGGCTGTTAAAGTTCAGAGGTCAGGACACCCTCCTGTCCCTCTTGCTCATCCATCCACACGCCCTCTCTCAAGCCATCACATCTCAAACCATCCCATCTCAAACCATCCCATCCCAACTTCTTCTTTTCCCCCCTCCATCACCTTGCGGATTTCAAACCATTACTTCCCTTCCCGTTATTCAGGTCAATTTCCATTCAGCTTTGACTCTTCACAATTCTCACCCCTCACTTCACCTCCCCTCACCTTCCCCCCCCCCTTACCTACATCTACACCCTCACCTTCACCCTCCCAACCAAGTCAAAGAACAGCTACAACACAGCATCTTACCTACCCCCCCAAGAAGCGCTCCGTACGCTTTTCCTCTCCTTCTCCCCAGAAGCAAGAGACCCCTTCTTGTCTTCCTTTCGCGCACGTCGAAAGGCATTCGAGAAGAGTTCTCGCCCGATAGCTCGTCAACCTGGACTTTGACGCCCGCGTCCCGATCCCCTTCAGCGTCTTCCCATCGTCGTACCGGAGCGACGAGGTAGCAGCTGCCGCCGCCGCCGCCGCAGGAACCGCCGCCAGCAACACCACCCAGACGCACGTCGAGGGTGAAGTGAAGCTTCCAGGACACGCCCACGGTCAAGAGCAGCGCCACGGACGGGAGAGCCATCTCGAAGCTTTCGCTCAGCAAGAGGTCCGCCTGCCTGCGCGCGACGAGCAGTACCAGGAGGACGTCTACATCCACCACGAGGAGGAGCAGAAGAGGAGGAAGCAGCAGCAGCAGCAGCAGCAGCAGGGACATCCGCAGATCCAGCAAAACCACCGGTCCAGCCACCGAGAAGAGACTACGTACCTCCAGGAAGAACGCAGGTACGTGATGAGGCGGGTTTTGGTTTTTCTTGAGAAGCACATTTTCATCTACACACACATCCATACCTCCATACCCACATCCAGAATCCTCCTGTCCCCCCCCCCCAACCTGCCCATCCACATCCACACCCCGTCCTTCGGGGTCGATTCGTTGTTCGTGCATGGGCGGGATGGCCCCCCCGGCCCCCTCGAGCGGACTCAGTTCTGCCACGGGGCTGGGAGCTCCACTTGGCTTCGTGTTCCCAGCTCTTGTTTACGGGTGCGAAATTGGGCCGTCTTAGCGCCCAGGTTGGATCGACGCGCCGCCCCTGATTGATTCGATGTCTATTTCCTTTCAACTCTGTTGACACAGTAACCCCCTTCACCGACCTCCCTCCTTCACCTCCCCCGAGACTCATCAACCCTGAACAATCCTTTCTAATTTTGCTTTGGCCTCTCTTCAGACCAGTAACCACCAAACACACCACCACCCACATTGACATCGAGCTCCCACACCGTCCGCACTTCCGCCGACAACACAACCAGCACACCCACGATACCACCGTCCATATCGAGGGCCCGCAACCTCAACGTCGCCGCTACCAAGGGACCGAGATCGACATCGCCGAGCGTGCGTACCGTGCCCGCTACCAGCCAAGCTACCGTGAGGACGAACGTGTCAACGTTACCACCGTAGACCCTCCCCCTTTTCAACCAGGCTCCTCCTATCAACAGGAGATTCGTGTCAGCGGTTCCACGGTTGACCCTCCACGCTTCCAAGCCCAACCACCACTCCACACACAGACGCGCGTCTCCCAAGAGACCGTAGACCCTCCCCGTTACACGCAACCCACTCGCACTTCCCAAGTCGAGTTCACCCAAGAGACTGTGGACCCTCCCCGCTTCATTGAGCCCGCTCGTCGTTCCCACGTCGAGTTTACCCAAGAGACAGTCGACCCTCCACGCCCCGTTGCACCTCCTCGCCATTCTCACGTCGAGTTCACCGAAGAGACCGTAGACATCCCCCGTACCAAATCGAAGAAGATGGGTTACTACGACGACGAAGGTACGCCAGCCACTTTCTCTCTCTCTCCCTCATATCCCTAACGACCCAAACCTACAACAGGTAAAACCCGCCACTCGATCCGACACGGTCTCCACAAGGCTGCTGATCGTGTCTGGGGTCGTCACCACCACCACGATCACCACCACCACTCTCACAGCCATCCTATCCAGGATGATATCGTTGAGCGAAGGGAAATTGACTTGAGCGTAGGTAGCAGCCGTGCCGGCCCAGCTCCCGTCCACGCCCCTGAGCCCGCCTACAGCTCCAACACCGTCTCCATCCCCTGCCACCACATCCGCCTCGGGGACCTCTTGATCCTCCAAGGTCGTCCTTGCCAAGTCATCCGCATCACCACCTCCTCTGCCACCGGCCAGCACAGATACCTCGGTGTTGACCTCTTCACCAAGCAACTGCATGAGGAGTCGTCCTTCATCGCCAACCCCAGCCCAAGTGTTGTCGTTCAGACGATGCTCGGCCCAGTCTTCAAGCAATACCGCGTCCTTGATCTCCAAGACGGTGTTGGTAAGTCGCTCCATCTCCTCACGCCCGCACCGCTAACCCCTGTTCAGTCGTTGCCATGACCGAGACCGGCGATGTCAAGCAATCCCTCCCCGTCATTGACCAGTCTAACCTCTGGCAACGTCTCAGCGAGGCCTTTGAGACCGGCCGTGGCTCCGTCCGCGTGCTTGTCATCTCTGACCGGGGTCGCGAGCTTGCCGTTGACATGAAGACCATCCACGGCTCCCGCCTGTGATCAAATCCCTCTCACTTTCTCGTTCTCCTTACATAGCGTGATCTCGCACAGACGGTGATCTGGATACATAATGGGGCTCAGGCACACCAAATCAAAATTGTTAATTGAAGAACAGGGACTGGAGTTGCAAAATCCTGGTTGGATCTTTTACCGGATGGTAGTGGATTTTCTATCAAGTGCCTCTGCTGCCGAGCCTCACAGTCTCATTCTTGGTTGATGGATCCTGCCTTTGGGTGGTTGATTCGTTGGCTTGGAGGAGGAGATGGTATGGTTCAGCGGCTGTGGCCTCTCACCTATTGTAAATGTAGATAGATAGCATGGAATAAAATCAAACGGATCTTTCAGTCAGCTCAAAGCAGTGAATCGTCGCGTAACTCGTACGCTCTTCAATATAGGTTATCGTCTCGAAGCCGCTCCTGGGCCCGACTACATGGTGTCTGGCGTTTCTGATGGTATGACATTCTACAGCCGCCGAGTACCCAGCATTTGCTATTGCCAATCGAACTTGAAGCAACGCGTTACAAGTATTTTCTGGTGGATATGTAGAGGGAGGACTTTGGCTGATATATTCACGTAGAAAAAGCTGCTCCGTAGAAAAGGCTTCTCTGGCACTCACTCCGTACAGGTTGTCAAGAGGGAACGCGAGTGGAGACGAGACTTTTGATCAGGAATAATCTTCGCTAGCGGGGTTTTGCGTTGTTTACTTGAAGTTTTTTTTTCCCTCTGATTTAAACTTCAATGGTTTTCATGGGGGCGTGGGGGGGTTTTTTTTTTTTGATCTCTTGAGATGCGGTGGATTGATGCATTCGGTGCTATAAATTCTCGTCCGGGGTCAAGCGACGATTGCTTGAAGAAGAATATACGTAGTAGGGATGGAGTTTAAGGAAGAATGAGGGAAGAAAGTCTTTGTTTTTGGTCCATGGTGTATACGGAGTACGGAGAGTTTTCGACGACCTTAATATGCGCTAGTGTGTCTTGGCAAAGAAGCGAAGACCCCGCGTCTCACGATAATGAGCCATCAGCTATCGCGGGGCTTCACTCCGACCTCCTCCCACCCCTCAACCGTTGCTCCTCCATCCCGCAATCCGCAAACCAGCCCTTCCTCATCACATCAAAAGCTTCACATCCTCAACTATGGGTGCCAACCAGTCCAAGACCCCACTGCCAAACGAGAAGCTCGTTATCGAGCGCCTCCGAGCAATGGAGATCAGAGACCAATCCGACGACTATGTCCAGGTCGACGAGAAAGCTGTTTTTGGATCCGGCAAAAACTCCTTCAGGGCCCCATGGACCGAATTATCTGTTTCCGAGGTCGCTCACTGGGAACACGAGCTTTTGCAAGATCCCAAGAACAGGTGCCTACCTCGCTCTCCCCATTGTGGACAAAGGGATCCGCTGATATCCCTAGACTCGCGCTCTCTGCCCTGAGCGCCGCAGACCCGAATACGGTTTTGACATCCCGAGCTACAACCATCAAGGACCAGCAGATTTTCAACATCAAAATTCCATTCGAGGGGGCTCCCATCACAAACCAGAGACAGTCCGGGCGATGCTGGCTCTTCGCCTCCACGAACGTCTTCCGCGTTGCTCTGATGAAGCGCCACAACCTGGATAAGTTCGAGCTCTCTCAAGCATACCTCTTCTTCTACGACAAGCTGGAGAAGGCCAACTTCTTTCTCGAGCAAATCCTCGACACAACAAGCGACGACCTCGATACTCGAACTATCCAAACACTGATGCAGAGCCCAGTTGGGGACGGAGGACAATGGGATATGGTTTACAACTTGGTTCACAAGTACGGTCTTGTGCCTCAAGTTCTGTACCCTGACTCCCACAATGCTCAGGCATCTGGCTCTATCAACAGCTTGCTGACCACCAAGCTGCGAGAGGATGCTTTGCAACTGAGAGCACTCGCAACATCTGGCACAAAGTCGGCGAGGGAGATTTCGGCTGTCAAGGACAAGATGATACGGGAAGTCCATCTCATCTTGATCCTCACATTGGGACCCCCACCGTCTCCAACCACCGAGTTTACGTGGAACTACTTGGATAAGAATGGTGCCGCCCAGGTATTGAAGACGACTCCCGTCGCGTTCTCCAAGGAGCTCTCAAGCCCCAAGTCGATCCGGATCACCAACTCTACCGTCCACGACATGTTCTCCTTGGTCAACGACCCACGAAACGAGTACAACTCCCTTCTCACCGTCGACAGGCTCGGCAACATCGTGGGTGGCCGTGGTATCACATACGTCAACGTCTCGATGGATATCATGAAGGAAGCCTGCATCAAGATGTTACAAGCCGGCCTTCCCATCTTCTTCGGCTCTGATGTCGGCAAGTACTCGAACGGTGCGTCTGGAATCATGGACACCTCCCTCGTCGACTATGAACTCGGCTTCAACGTCCGATTGGGAATGTCCAAGGCTCAAAGATTGATGGTTGGCGAGAGTGCCATGACCCACGCGATGGTTCTCACTGCTGTGCACGTTGAGGATGGCAAGAGCGTGAGATGGCGCGTCCAGAACTCCTGGGGCGAAGGTGCTGGCACCGACGGCTGGTTCGTGATGAGCGACAAGTGGATGGACGAATTTGTCTACCAAGCCGTTGTTGAGCCTCGCTTCGTGAGCAAGGAGACGCGAGCTATCCTCGACTCGGAGCCAAAGGTTCTCCCGCTGTGGGACCCTATGGGCGCCTTGGCTTAGGAGCCAGCGACGGAACGATCTAGTTGACGGAGCGAGCGGCGGTATCGATGACAACGATTTGGATCTGGCGTGCATTGTGGATTTTATTGTTATGCGGTCGCTCGAGCGAGACTGCATGTTTATTTCAAAAAAGATGGTATTCGATTTACGTTAGCTCGAAACAAAGTCTTTTATCGATTAGCTACGCAAAAGCTTTCGATTGTTAAAAAAATCGATAACTTATTTCCAATAAGCTCTCGAGCATATCAATTAAACCATAGATCAATAATATCAAATCCTGTAGACCAATAAGACTTGGATAATAAAAGGCGACATACGCGAACTTGATTACTCGACGTACGAACAGAAAATAAAATGATACGTATATTATTAAGCAGTATCAACCAAAGAAAAAAAATAAACACTTTCACGATATTCTTTCTACACCTAATCGTCGGCTACCTTGGAACTTCCAAGTACCGGTAATCTGCACCCAAGTCCCGACCGGGCGCAGTACCTAGCGCGTGCGTGCACCTCCCACGGCGGGGGGACAACAACGGGTTGCGGAATACGGTATGGGATGGCGTGGCGTGGCGTCGCGAGGAGTATGACGTGTTGAGTGAGCGCTGTAGCTGTAGCTGTAGCTGTACCGGTCTTTTTCGTGTGGGGAGATTGGATGTGTGGGTGGATGTGTAGGTGGGTGGATGGATGGATGGGGACTTGGGCGAGGAAAACGATTGATGGGAGGTTTTGAGTGAGGGTGGGTTTGTAGTGGGGGGGTTTTTTATTTATTTGTTGGGGGGGGGGGGGTAAGGGGTAAATATATATATATATATATATAT